TAGGCAAGCCCGCCGGGTGCAAAGCTGGGTGCACCGGGCAAGCTTGAAAATGGGAGTCTCTGGTTGGCCCACGCCGGGCGTGACTTGAGCTGCGCCGGGCGGGATATCAATGATGACATTGTTGGGATGTTCTGGTGTCGCGCTAGGCGCACGATTAGACTCGCTAGGCGCGGAGAATTCTTAGGAGTCTCTGCCAAGAGAGCGCTGAGCGCAATGCGAATTGCGCCGGGCGCGAGACCTTGGTAGGTCTCTGCCTTCCCCACGCTGGGCGCGGGTTAGGCCACGCTGAGCGCACGAGACTCCTTAGAGTCTCTGCCTAGCAGGCGCTGGGCGCAATTGGAATTGCGCCAGGCGCATGAGAGCCTTGGACTCTCGGGTTAAGTCTCGCCGAGCGCGAGTATTCTTGCGCTGGGCGCGCTGGCCCCTGGTGCTCTCGAGTTGAACCGCGCTAGGCGTGACCTCGAGTGCACCGGACACGCAAGGAGATATTATTATACATGCTGTTAGCTGTTGAATTTTGCTGAAGTTGATAAATCATTGTTGTTTTATGCTGAACTAAGCTGAAATTGATAAATATGCTGTGTTGACTAGATGTGAATGCTGAAAAATGATGTTAAGCTGTAATAGATGTAATTGTTGTGCTGAGCTGGGCTGTTATTAATGATTTTGGATGCTGATTCATATTATTATTGTGCTCTAGCTGAGTTAGGAGTGGTAGGCTGTGTTGAATGCTACTTAGTCGTGCTGTATGCTGTGTATGGCCACTATGGTGGTGCTGTTCTAGCCACTAATGTGGTGCTGTTATTGCCGCTTCGCGGTGTCGTTATAGCCACTTAAGTGGTGCTGTTATTTATGCCAAGCAGTGCTGATATTGCCGCATCGCGGTGCTGATATTGTTGAATGTTGTGAGTGGTATATGTTGTAGTGGTGTGCTGATAGCTGTAACTATTTTCTATCATATTGCTACATATATATATGTATGTGGATTTTTATTTATACTAGCTTACCCTTTGTTGTTTCCTTGATGTTTGGACTGCAATGATCATACAATGTATGAGAGCAGAGTAGGGATAGGTGAGAGGCTAGTGGTGAGTCTTCAGCGGACAGGCAGAGCTGATTTCTTTTTGTGATTATTTTGTGTTGAGCTACTTGGGGTAGTAGCAATTGATTGTATTATTGGTACATGTCGCAACCCGAATTTTTCCGATCTCGCGACATATGATTTAGACATCCTTTTAAAAGTCTCATTAATTAAGGAATGCCCGGACACCAGACTAATCCTTACTTAATGGTTTTGAAAATAGGTTCATGGAGTCGCCACCAATATTTTACTCAAAAAACATTGGAAAAAGAAAGGGTTTTTTAAAGATCCAACTATGGCCTTGATAACCAGAATTGGGTTCGGGGGTCGATTACGTGTAGGCAAGGTATTAAGCACCCCTACAACGCCCTCAATCGGTACCCTATGATGAAGTTAACATGATAAGAATTAATAAATTAAATATTAAGTCCCCTTTATTAATATTTATTTACATGATTAAAATATAAATTAAGCAATTAACACTAAAATATCTACATTACGACGTTTATTATAACAAAAAAAAGATAAAGATGAGAAATAAAAGGAAGAGAAGAAGATTGACTAAAATACCTCTTGAACGAGCTTTATTGAATCTTCAAATATGGAGAATGTGCTTTGTGGCGACCTTTCACACTACAGTATGCCTCACAGATCTCAAGAAATACAATAAGGGGGAGAGAGAATATAGAGATGCGACACAAATCTCAAGAAATATAATAGAAGGGAGAGAAATAGAGAATTTTCGTGCTCAAAGAAGTCTTATTCGAAATTTCTCTGGCCGCCTGGAGAACTGTGCCTGACGCTTCAATTTATAGGAATCAGAAGGGGGCCAGAACGACCTGTTCCGGATTCAGAACGACCTGTTCCGGATTCGGAACGGCCCTTTCTGGCCCAATAGTTATGCGCAAATTTCGCACCCTGGAATGGCCCGTTCTGAAAACGGAACGGCCCATTCCAGAGTTGAAACTAACACAAATTTATCCTTTCCAGAACGGCCCGTTCCAAAATTGGCTTGTTTAGAACGACCCGTTCTGGAATTGGAATGGCCCATTCTGGTATTGGAACGGCCCGTTCCAGCCAAGCCTCTGTAGGTGTTTTAATCACGTTGGAACGACCCGTTCTGATATTGGAACGGCCCGTTCCGGTGTTCGAAACGGCCCGTTCCGATTTTGAAACAGCTCGTTCCGGGCTACTTAAACCACCTTATTTGGCCTTTAGGCCTTCTGATGTCCTTTCTTGTTGTTTGCTTGCTTCGGATGCTCCTTCCCTTCATAACGGAGGTCAATTTCCTTGTTTGTGTGCCCCCCGGACGAAATTGGGTGTCTATAGTACACTTTAACTCTGTTTAGATTGGATCATGTATATATATATATATATATATTCTAGACCCTATATGTATATACTTGTTTTTTTCTGTACGGTGTTTCTAGTGTGCTGTGCCGCGTGTAGTGACCAGCCGGGTCGTTACACCAACAACCTCTATAGTAATGGAAATGAAACCTGTCTTTCTCAATTAAGTCAGGGAAGAATCATGAGGATCCATATGCACATTTATGAGACTTCTATGACATGTGTGGTATGTAACATCCCAAATTTTTCTACTAATACTACAAATTATAATAGGCTGTACCTGATGGATTGATGTAAACTGCATCCAGGTAGTCTCTGTTCCTTCGAGGTCGATAGTCTATGGTCCAACCTGAACTCAGCAGCATCTCCCTTATTCGTTCTCGCAGCTTCTGTTTTTCTGTACCACTACCACGCTTGATTTTTCCTTCTTTAACTTTTGTGGTGGGGAGTTTTTCATGCCCTGGAGTCTGCTCATCGTCAGAGATTATTTTTTTCCCAGGCTTATGAGCTTCAGTATTTTTTATTCCCAGATTCAATGATGTGTCACTGTTATCTGAATCCCCCTCATCACCCTTACTGTCCTTGCTTGACAAGGATTTTCTTGATGCTATCCGTTTCTTCTCCAGCCTCTTAAGTAATCTTGGTTTCTCAACAGGTTTGGCTTCCAAGTACGATGAAGAACAAATTGGAACATTCTTCTTGGCAGTCTCTTCGGTCTTCAACTTCTTGGCATTTTCTTCGCTCTTCCATCTTGAGGCATTCTCTTCACTCATCCATCTTGTGGCATTCTCTTCACTCATCCATCTTGTGGCATTCTCTTCACTCTTCAACCTTTGCCTGCTTTCCCTGCTTTCCACAGGTTTACGATGATCATAGTGTTCTGATGACACACCCACCTTATTCTTATTAACCATTACCTTCAAAACACCATTTTTTCCTTGAACCCTAATGGACCCATCTGAATTAAGCTTCTCCCTCTGTGATGGTAGCGGTAGTCGAGCCATATCCCTGTTCATCTTGAGTCTACTGTGATCAACATTATCCCCGGGATACAAGCCACTGGGCCTGTCATAATGGGAGTCCTTTCTCTTATCAAGAACACGTCCACTTGACCCTGTTTTGAATTCCCTATCAACGCCAATTCTAGAAGCATGAACTGATCCCATAAACTTTCCTCCTCCATGACCAACTCCATTACCATCCAAATGCCTCCTCCTCATGTTTTCCATATCCATACCATCATATTCGTCAAAATCATACACATCCAATTTAGTAAGCTTCCTATCCCTCTGCTCCAAACCTCTCTCCGAAGCAATACCTTCTCCACTACCCCTAATCAGTTCCACTCTATTCCTCTTGCGACTAATTTCACTACTACCACGCTCAGAGGCAGCCAAACCATTGCAAACTCGTATAGTCTCCGGGCCAACCCTTCTACCGGGAGGCATCATCAACTCGTCGCTTGACCCAGAATCACTCAAGGACACGTTAATGTTGGCCCTTTTCTTCGATTCATAAAGCTTCCGAGAGGTGGAAGCAGTAGCACCCAACCCATCCCCTTTCTTTCGCACAATTAAACAACCCGAGGAGTTTCTGCTCTTCACCAAAACCCCAGAACCACTCGATCTCACGCCCGATTCCATCTACCAAAGCCCCTCCTCCAAAATTAACATCACCCGCAACCAAACCCTAAATCCCAGATCTGAAGAGAAATCGACCGTAATTACGCAAAGTTTCCCCCTCCCCTTCGGACCAAAACAAAATTTCAATGGAATCTTACCTCGCCGGAAAATTCAAGGAATTCGTCCCTCGCAATAATTGGGTCATGCGAGTGCGACGCAAGTGCCCGCCGAAAATCCCAAAGTGATCCGGCAGCGACGTGAGACGGAGAGAAATTTAACGAAACCAATCAGAGAGAGAGAGAGATTTTGGGTTGCGATTTGTAGATGCAGCGCGTAAGCCAATATCTAAAATCGATAATCGATATTAAATAAAAGTTAAAAACACAAACAGAAAACAGTGTCAGCGTTTTCCCCCTTTATATTTTTCTTATTTTATTTTCCCTCCAAATTTTCTTTTTTTGTTGAATCCAACGCTTCTCATTCTGCCACGTCATGCATCATGGACGTGGCCAAATCAAAATGGTTTTCGCGGCTGTTTATACAGTTTTTTCCTACGTCCATGTTAATACCGGGCAAGTTTTTCTTACTTCAACTATTCAAAATTTTAGTTTGTTCACGTGTTAAAAATAATATTTTATATCGTAATTATTCTTTATTTCTATAATTTATAGATGATTATATCTTTAATTATTAAGAAAATAAATAAATAAGTTTAAGAATCATCATTGACGTAAATAATTATTTTTGTTGGGGTAGAGGGTGTCACATGGTACCATGGGAATTCCTAAGGGTGATGAAAAAGCAGTTTATCTTCATTTATTTCCTTTCTCTTTGACAGGTAAGGCCAAGACTTGGTTGCAGTCTCATCTTAATCATAGTCTTATACTAGATGGAGGAACCTGGAAAATAATTTTATGAATAGATTGTATCCATCCTCAAAATATATCAATGTTAAATAATAGATTACTATCTTTCGCTAAGGGATGGATGTACCCTTCTATGAGGCCTAGGAACGATTCAAATCTCTTATAAGAAAGTGTTCAAATCATGAATTTAAGGATATTTCTCAACTAAATTTCTTTTGCAATGGAGTAAAGCTAGATATCAACATCCTCCTAGATGCAATTTCATGAGGTACCATGATAACTATTGATCATGATGAGGCTACTAAGACTATTGAGTCTCTTGCCTCTTCTAATGATTGGGCACAACATAATAGACATAACCATCCAAGAAAGGGTGTTGTTGATCTTAATAAAAATGATGCAATCCTAGCACAACATAAGCTACTCTATCAACAACTTGAAGCTCTAATAAAATAGTTGACAAAACTTCCTTAGCAACTTTAGTATATTATTTTAGCTCTTGCACAACAACAAGCTCTTAAGTATGATTTTTGTATTGGAAACCACCCAAATGGCTTTTGTTCAACACCTAGAAACTAGGGCTGGGCAAAATAAATGAAACTAAATTGAACTAGTGGTAAAATGAGTTGAATTGCACTATAAAAGATGTATTGTTTGCAAAAAAAAAAATTGAATTGAATTATCTATAAAAAAAATGAATTACTGAACTAGACTGTTTGAAAACTAAACTGAATTGAACTACAAAAACTAAATTACTTTTATGAAAGGGTAAAAATTAAATGTTCTAAAATGGTCCATTTTGATGGGTGAATCCAATACACTACAAGAAAAATTATTATTATTTACAGAATATTATCTACGGAATTTTTTCCGTAGATAATGTTTAGTTATCTATGGAATATTATCTACGGAATTTTTTTCGTAGATAATTTTTACTTATCAACGGAATTATCCGTAGATAATATTTAGTTATCTACGAAATTTTTTGTAGATAAGTTATCTACGGGTTTTTTCGTAGATAAGTTATCTACGGATTTTTCCGTAGATAAGTTATCTACGAAAATTTCCGTAGATAACTTCACCCATAGATAAATTTTGTAGGTAAAACATTTTATTTGAAACATCAGTTTACATATTTTATTATCTTTTCATTTTAATTTATTGTAAAATAATTAAAATATTTAATTTAGCATCATTAAAAAAATAATCATTACAAGATTTATTTTTTTTAATTTAATTAGTTATTATAACACTTTTAGTCACCGTATTGACCAAAAAATATATTTTTGATTAAAATATATTTTAAAATTTTAGTTAATTCATCGTAATATTTTAAAATAAATATTTTTAAAAATTGACATTAGATAAATTATCAATGAAAATTTTCGTAGATAAGTTATCCACGGAAATTTTCGTAGATAAGTTATCTACGGATTTTTCCGTAGATAACTTATCTACGGAAAAATCCATAGATAACTTATCTTCGAAAAAATCCATAGGTAACTTATCTACGAAAATTTTCGTAGATAACTTTACCCGTAGATAAATTTTGTAAGTAATACATTTTATTTGAAACATCAATTAACATATTTGTATAGAAAAATCATCATTTGGATGTGATCCTTATATACATGGACGGAAAAGTAAAAAACATGGAAGATGTACTTTGTTAGTTCGCAGTTCTGACAAAGGATTAAATTCAGAAGCTGATGGCTTTGTCCCATATATGGGAAAACGGACAGTTCTTTCCTGGTTGATTGACTCTGGATCAGTAGAGTTAAGCCAAAAGGTTCAGTACCGCAGACGGAAGAAAGTCCTGCTGGAGGGGTGGATCACAAGAGATGGTATTCATTGTGGCTGCTGTAGTAAGATCCTCACAGTTTCAAAGTTTGAGCTTCATGCAGGAAGCAAATTGCCACAGCCTTATCAAAACATATATTTGGAATCTGGAGTTTCTCTTCTACAGTGCCAGATAGATGCATGGAATAGACAAGAGCATTCTGAAAAAATTGGTTTCCATTCTACACAAGTGCACAAGTATAAAAGGTATTCAAGCATGCTCAATTGTAAAATAGAAATAGCTAAATAAATACATATACATTTAAGTTATGCTTCATAAAATTGAAAAAAGCAGAAGAAACTGTAAGAGGTACCTCTTTGCATTCTTTCCCACAAAAAGAAAGGCTTGATGTATTAAAGTTATCAGGAAGGGTATCAATCTCCTTAGTGCAAGAGTCATGATCTACGCAAAAAGAAAGTATTTATAAAACAAAGTTAGAAAAAAAGAAAAAACAAAAGGGTCGTAAGGGCCAAAACAATGTAAACATTTTAAAGAAACATCAAATATAAATAAGAGAAAGTGAATACATTTCTTCTCGCATAAGTTGCAAGTACGTAGGACATACACAGTTGCTTCATCTTTGTCAGAAGTTCCACTGGCTATGCCACAAAATTTACAGGTACAATTCGGACAATGCCATTCACCGGGAGGAAGCATCTGCAACAACATAAATGAATTCCTCATAAAGACAACTATCCTCCTAAAATACTTAATAAATCAATTATGTTGCAAAAATAAAATACAGTAAATTGCAACAAGTCAATAACACTTCCATCAAAGTGTCAATAATAAATTATTCTAGTTTTATGTGCAGGAACCCTGGACTCTACTCTGAGAAAACCCATTCAACATGCCTTCTATAGTTCTATATATCAAAGAAGATAGATAATCATAAATTTAATATTGACAGTAGGCACAATTTTTGTCTAGTCTTAGTAGATACAAGTTTTGTTTAGTGATACCATTTTCAGCATTCCCCTAACAACATTTGGCAATATCATAATAACAAGAAAGTATCTTCAGTCCCCTACTCCCCTTGACTTCATAACAAAAAACTCCCAACAATGAGATATTACTGTCCCACTTCCACCACCCTAAACAAAAATTAGACAAACGAAACAGCATCTGAAAGGGAAACATAAATTTAATATGCTAATGTTCAATAAGAGATTAAGAGAAAATGCAAAGCAATACAGAGAACAAAATATACACTAACAATATGTTGAGAAATGAAAACATAACATGCCATTTGGAGAATAAAATATGCACACATACCTGTATATCCAAGCATCTCTGATGAAATGTTGACGGACAACCATCACAACAGATTAAATCCCCTCCATCTCCACATATACCACAAGTATCATCATTTGGATCATCTCCATCAATATCAACAGAATGGAAACCAATTTTTTCAGAATGCTCTTGTCTATTCCATGCATCTATCTGGCACTGTAGACGAGAAACTCCAGATTCCAAATATATATTTTGATAAGGCAGTGGCAATTTGCTTCCTGCATGAAGCTCAAACTTTGAAACTGTCAGGAAGCAAATTGCCACAGCCTTATCAAAACATATATTTGGAATCTGGAGTTTCTCTTCTACAGTGCCAGATAGATGCATGGAATAGACAAGAGCATTCTGAAAAAATTGGTTTCCATTCTGTTGATATTGATGGAGATGATCCAAATGATGATACTTGTGGTATATGTGGAGATGGAGGGGATTTAATCTGTTGTGATGGTTGTCCGTCAACATTTCATCAGAGATGCTTGGATATACAGGTATGTGTGCATATTTTATTCTCCAAATGGCATGTTATGTTTTCATTTCTCAACATATTGTTAGTGTATATTTTGTTCTCTGTATTGCTTTGCATTTTCTCTTAATCTCTTATTGAACATTAGCATATTAAATTTATGTTTCCCTTTCAGATGCTGTTTCGTTTGTCTAATTTTTGTTTAGGGTGGTGGAAGTGGGACAGTAATATCTCATTGTTGGGAGTTTTTTGTTATGAAGTCAAGGGGAGTAGGGGACTGAAGATACTTTCTTGTTATTATGATATTGCCAAATGTTGTTAGGGGAATGCTGAAAATGGTATCACTAAACAAAACTTGTATCTACTAAGACTAGACAAAAATTGTGCCTACACCCAACGGTTTAAGCTTAAAAAAAGTTATTTGAAAACGATTGTGCAAATTTGGTCAAATCTAGCGGGCCAGTTGGACTATGTTGGGCCACTAACTTTTAGGCTTGGAACCTACCGAGTTTATTTGGCCAGATATACATATATATATATATGTGTGTGTGTGTGTGTGTGTGTGTGTGTGTGTGTGTGTGTGTGTGTGTGAAAATTTTAAATAAAATAGAAAAAATAAAATAAAGTTAGCATATTTGTCATGTCTTGAAAGACGAACGAGTCAAAACAGTTCAATTTAAAGTATCATAATAGTTTAGTGTAATTTAAATTGTAGTTTAATTCAAATTTTTATAGCATAGTTCACTTTAGTTCAATAAAACAAAAAAAATTAGTTTAATTCAATTTGCCTAAAAAAATTTGTAGTGTTGTTTAGTTTAGGTGAACCTTTAAGTTTGATGTTGTTTTTATAAGTTCAGTTCAATTTAGTTCATTTTGCCCACTCCTACTAGCAACTATTAGGAGGAGGAAGTGAACTATATGGGCAATCAACAAAGGGCACATAATTTTGATAATCATATTTATTCTAACAATTATATGTAGGTATAGTGGAATAACAACAATTAAGGCTATGGTTGGAAACAAGAAGCAGGTCCCTCCAATAGACAACCACCTTAACAACATCAAGGTCACAATTCTTTTATGTTGGAAAAAAAAAACCCAAATTGGAAGACACCTTGACTTAGTTCATGTAGGCTTTTCTTGCCAATAACAAGAATACAAATGCTTCTATAATTTTTTTTTTTGGAGATTTAGGTTGGCCAAATAGCAAATTAAGCAACTTGTAAATTAGTAAAGAGGATCACTTTCAGCCAACAGTACACCAAACCCAAAAGAGCAATGTAAGTCCATTACAATAAGGAGCAGAAAATAGATTGGGAAGGTAATTGGAGACAATTTGAAAATATTGAGGGTGTTGAGGAGAAAAATATGAGTGAAAAGTTGCTTGGTGAGGAGATGAAGGAAAAGGTTAAGAAACATAAAGGTGATGATGCAAATAAAAAGAGTGTGAAAGGCAAATAAAAATTGAAGAAAAAGAAAATAAATGAGAAAGGATCAAGCAAGAAAGAAAGGGAAAGATGTAGGCAACACTCCACCAGTCACAAATTTTCCATATGCACATGCTCATTCTAAGAAAGACAGGGAAATAAATGTTTCCCATTTTCTAGACATTTTTAAGAGGCTTCAAATTAATATTTCATTTTCAAAAGCACTGGAACAAATTCCTACTAATGCTAAATTCATGAAGGAACTTAGAGAAGATTGATTCAAGATGGAATAGTGGAATTGCAAGTTGGGTGTAGTATAATCATTTAGAAATCTATACCTTAGAAATTAAGAGATCTTGACAACTTTACCATTCAGTCACCATCAGAAGATTACATGTGGGAATTAAAAGCACTATTGGATTTAGGGGGTAACATTAATCTTATGCCCTTGTCCATGATGAAAAGAAATGAAGACTTGGAAGCTAGGCCTAATAGGATGACTCTTCAATTGGCAGATAGGTTAGTGAAGTATCCTCATGGAATAGTATAAGATGCCTATCAAGGTGGATAAATTCATGTTTCTAGTAGAATTTAAGGTAATGGATATAGAGGAGGATAAGGAAGTTCCATTGATTATTGGAAAACCTTTTATGAAGACATCTAAATAATCATTGATGTTGATGATGACAAACTAAAGGTCATAGTTCAGGATGAAAAAGTGAATTTCAATGTTTTTTAGGCAATGCAATATCCTAGTGATAGAAAAGAATGCATGTGAATAGATGTTATTGATGAAGTGTGCTTGACAATGAGAAAACAAACAAAATGATCCAAGGCTGCTAGAGAAAGCTCTGATAGATGCATTTAAAGATTTGAATGAGAGGGAGGAAAAAATGATTGAAGCGTGTTTGAGGGATCTAGATTCAACAAAAGAGTTTCCTTTAGAAAAAGTCAAAATTGAAGATTTGGAGAAAAATATTAAGGTGGAGATAAAAACCATAATTGAATATGCTTCCAACTTAATTGAAGTATGTGTTCCTTGAAGATGGAGGAAATAAGCCAACAATCATTAGTAGCTTTCTTTCTTATTTTGAAGAAGAAAAATTGATTAAGGTGTTAAAGGCTAACAAGGTAGCTATAGGGTGGATGCTCTCAGATCTAAAGGGAATCACTATGTCTTATTGTATGCCCAAGATTCACAGAGCAAGAATTCAAGCCTATAGCTCACCCATAAAGGTGCCTTAATCTAATAATGAAGAAGTGGTGAAGAAATAGGTCTTAAAGTTTTTGGAAGCAGGAATCATTTATTCTATCTCAAACAACACTTGGGTAAGTCCAGTATAGCTAGTTCCAAAGAAATATTGGATGATAGTTGTTCAGAATGAGAAGATTGAATTAATTCCTACATGGACCGTCACTAGTTAGAAGATGTCCATAGATTACTAAAAACTCAACTAAGCAAATAGAAAATAACATTTTCCTTTACGGTTCATAGATTAGATGCTTGAAAGATTAGGACATACATGCTATTTTTTTATGGTTATTCTAGATACAATCAGATTGTGGCAGACCTTATAGATCAAGAGAAAACAACATTTACTTGTTCGTTTGGTGTCATTGCATATAGGAAAATGCCTTTTGGTTTATGTAATGCATTGACTACTTTTCATAAATGCATGTTAGCCATTTTCTCTGAATTGGTTGAAAAATGCATTGAAGTCTTCATGGATTATTATTCAGTATTTGGCACTTCCTTCGATAATTGTTTGTAAAATCTTGACACCGTACTAAAACGATATATTTAGATCAATCTTGTTCTTAACTTGGGGAAATGCCATTTTATGATAATTGAGGGAATTGTTTTAGGCCACAAGATTTCTTTCATAGGCATTGGAGTTGATAAAGCTGAAGTAGAGATCATTGAGAAGCTTCCTCCACCAACCAACATTAAGGACATTTGGAGTTTCCTTGGTCATGCTAAATTTTATAAGTTGTTCATGAAGGATTTTTCAAAAATTTCCAAGCCATTAAGCAATTTTCTCAACAAGGACACTCCATTTAATTTTTGATACACCTTGTTTGAATGCTTTTTAATTGTTAGAACAAAAATTTATTTTATCCCCTATCATTTTTTCCCTTGACTGGAATTTAAATTTTGAGTACATGTGTGATGTTGGTGACTATGTAGTTGGGGCAGTTCTAAGCTAGAGAAAATCCAAGATTTTCCATGTTATACATTATGCTAGCAAGGTTTTAAATGAAATTGAAGTTAATTTTGCAACAAGTGAAAAGAAATTTCTAGTTATTGTATATGCATTGGAAAAGCTTAGATCTTATTTTATTGGATAAAACGTCATAGATTTTATAGATCATGTTGCAATAAAATACATGTTGACCAAGTCTGATTCTAAACCTACACCAATTATATGAATTCTATTGTTGTAGGAATTTGACTTAGAGATCAAAGATAAAGAAAAGGTGTTAGGTCAAAAAATGATCTTAGATCCCTCATTTTTCATAAGTTCTAATGATAATAAAAACTACATTTTTCAACAAGAAAACATTCTCGGAAAGTTGTTGTTTCAAATTTTATAAGACGAAGTAGTGTCTGTAAGAGGAAGCAAATAAGACGAAGTATACAATTGTCTGTCATGTTCTTAATGTCCATTATATATTTTGAATGACACATTTGGATTTTCAAATAAATGCATTATGCCTCAAAAAAAATCGAAAGTCATTGCCTTGAAACTCACATTCTGTTAAAGGTGTATAAAGGCATGTAAAACATTAGAATAAATGACAAAGATCTTGGATCTCAAGGAAAAGGCACAAGAAAAGTACTACATTCTTGTTGCACACTGACTTTGCTTCCTACTGTTCCCACTTTGATGCTCTGCTATGATAAGTAGCTTTATCTATCAAAGATAATAAGTACGTTCAAGTGAAAGACATTAATTGAATCATTTAATGCACCAATGGATACTTCATCTCTCTAGATTAGATAAAGGAGTAAGAAGAAGCAGTTCTATGAATCAGATTCAAGATACTACAATGGTTATCTCTTTTAAAGCTACTATATAAGAAGTTATGTAACTAAGAAGAAAAGCAACAGAGATACAAAGAATATATACAACTTAAGAGCGAACCAAGTAGATAGAAAATATTCCTCAAGAAATTTCTTGTATTTAAACATTCATTGTAATCATGTCTAAAAGGGATAGCAACAACAACCTTGTAATACCTTTATAACCATTGTTATAGGGTAGAGTCTGGAAAGACTTGTCTGAAAAAGAATACTTGAAATTGAGTCTGGAGAGACTTATTTTTAAAAGGAGTACTTGGTAGTGGCTTAAAGAGGCCATTCAAAGATAACTTGTATTAAGCCAGAATTGACTTAGTGAAATAATACTTGTAACTTTGTTGAAAGTTAGTAGAAT